ATGATTATACTTTACTATTGGCATAAACATATTTTAAATTATGGAATATGACCCACAAGAGGAAATAGGAGTTTTGTATTAGGATGTATTAATATTTAGTTAGCATAGACCAGTTTCTTGGATAAATAATATATTGTGTTACCATAGCAATGAAGAATAACTTATTAGAAGTAGCAGTGTAAAGTTTAAAGTGAAAAGTCAAACCAGACTTAGGCAATAAAATTTGAAAAAAAAAATGTTAAGTGAAACTGAAAATTTAAAAATTGGAGGGAATATCAATTCATCATCACAGTCTCGTATTGGATGTGGTTAAGAGATAACAGATTTACAAATATGTGCTTAATATTTTTGTAAATCAATATCCTTTCTAAGCAACCGTGAAAAATTTGAATGAAACTTTAAGTAAGTAAATTTACAAGACCATCTTATAGTTCACTATATGATATGAGAAAAATGTCTGCAAAATGGATACTTGAATGTCTGAATGTTGACCAGAAGCATGCAAAAGTAAAACAATCACATTCATTTCAATATCTCAGAAAAAAACAGTTAATAAATTAGAGACAATTTATTCCAAGGCTTAAGAATTTTTGGAAATCTACTGGAAAAGTTCTTGCTTTAGTTTTTGGGAATTTAAAAGGCATAATCGTGATTGATTTTCTGGATAAGTGTCAACAGTAGCTTAAAATTTCTGTTCGACATTACTCGCCACTTTATGAGAAAAAATTAGTGAGATGCAGAAAGTTGTCCAAAGGTATTTTGTTTTTGTGGGGTAATGCCCCTGCAGGCTAATCGCATGTTGCTATTCAAATAAGTTGTAATTTAGGCTTCGAATTACTTAAACATTCTTCTTATTAACTAGATCTGTCTCCATCCGACTATCAAGTCAACTAAAAAAGTCTAAAATGTGACACATTTTTGACCAATGAAGAGGTGAAAGAAACTGAATAATTGGTTTGCAAAGAAAGATAAAAATCTTCCCAACCTTTTTACCCTTCAAAAATTAATAATAAATATGGATATGACATTTGTTTTGAAAAGTTTAATTAAATATTGGTCCCATCTCTTCTTGAGCTGTTTTTGTTTAAAGTCCCTAAATAACAACAATTGATTACTAGTGGACCAACTCGACATCGAGTTTTTTAAATGAAATTTTTATTTTGCGAGAAAAATTAAGAGATCAATACAAACAATATAAGCAAGAATATACATAACATTCATCAATAATAATGCAAGTAAAAAGTGTATTAAATATCACAAAATATTTTGTCGAAAACAATGTTTTTTGTTACAATGTCTCCATTTTCTGAAAACTTTTGCTTGGCATCGGGAGTTATGTAAACTTTTACTTTTTACTTTTTAATAAAAACGAAACCGTAAGTCGACCTCAAAACCGGAATGCAATTTTTAGTTCATCAAATGTCGACATGGATATCATTTAGCAGTTAATTTTGCATGCTGATCACAAATCTGGTGTCAGATTTGCTCTATCATGACGTTTTATGCGTGTTTCGGGTCACTTTCGGTGTCGGATCGCAACCGAAAGTACATATTTAGATTCGTCTCGACGAGATCTTTCGATCCATATATACATTGTGGGGTCTAAAACTTAAAGTAAATTTTAACTTCCGGTCATCTCAAAACTGGAAGTGAATTTTTGTACCAAAAGTATATCTTGACAATCTCAAACGTAATACTAATAATATTCCGAATAAATATTTTAATTATCTAATATGGTTTTTGAGTAAAGTGGTGGACAAGAAAAGGGCTTAGCATTTTAGTATATAAGATTTGATATTCCATAAGTACCACTAATTACATTATCATAGCCCACTAGTAAGGTTTTATTATTGAGTTCATTTATCAATGAATTCAGTAATGACAAGAAGAAAAATACCCTTTATGGCTGATTAGGACATGTATACAAAAGTTATGGATTTAATGTAATCTTCTCTTATAATAGTAATATTTATCAAATAATTTGGCCTTCATTTTTTTTTTAATATGTATTTGATGATTTATAAAAATAAACATAATTATTGATGACTAATCTACATAGTTCTCACTGGTAAATATGTTGGCATAAATTATAAAAAACTTTGTAGATCTACAAATTTAAAAATTTTATTTTTGACGGATTAACAGCTATTGAAAATTGTCTCTTGAAAAAACTTTAGATCTGAAGGCAAAAATGTAAAAAAAAAACAAAATATTTTGGGTTATTCCTGACAATAAGGTTAATAAATTAGAAGATACTATGATGAAGCAGCTTTAAAATAATATAGATATTGTAGTTGGAACTGTGAATAGTTGATACAGGGCTACTTATATAAAAAAAAATGGACTTTATGATCAGTGTCAGTTTTAATTTATCTTTAAGTTTTAAAATATGTAATTTTTGAGTAAATGTACAATTTAATAAGTCAAAGTTGAAACTGTAATTTAAACAGTCATTTCAATAGAGTTAAATAGTTTTGTTGGCTCTTGTTTTACTTTTCTTTTGTATTGAACAACATTAATTTTATCTGTAAATCCTTATTTGTATACAAAACAAAATGCATTCAGGATTTATAAATAGGCAGGTATACTTAATACTTTTAAATAATACATTGTAGTTTCATCATGATTTGGAAATCAAAATGACCTTAAAAGGTCAAGTCTTGTATTTCAATATATGCTTTCTTAACAGGTGTAAATATTAGATTATGCTAAAATAATGTGGTAAGTTTTAAATTATAAAACCAAATTTTATTTAAATTTTTATATTATGCTGGCGATTTATTTGAGAATCAATATTTTGTAATTTAGTCAATATAATAATAATATTAAAAAAAAGATCTATATATCAATAAACATAAATTATATGTTTGATCATTTGTATTTCTTGTGGAAATTAATTCCCTTCCCTTCCAATTTTATTGTAATATATTTATGTAATTCCTTATACCTAAACTAACATCCTAGTCAAAATAATTCCAATTTAGATTGAGAAGTTTCTTGGTTGATATTAAGTATAATGTTAGAAATAACTAAATATAAATAATCATTAGAATAAATAATTATAAACAGATCAGTATTTGAAAACAAAAAGAAGTTACTGAATGTTATTTTGGATGTAACAAGGATGTAGCACTACAGGTGCACTTTCCACATTTATAACAAATATTTAAAGTGCAAAAAATGTTTAAATATCATCTTAACTGAGAGGAACTGTTTTAACATCTACAGAAAGATCTACTTTAAAACAAACAAATAATAACTTTTCTATAAACCAAATTTTTCAACTACTAACCACTTCCTTTATTTTAAAAAACATAGAAAAAATCAAACATTTTATCAATTTGTTTTATGAGTTAAGGCTTTTATATACTAGACAATACCATAAATACCATAATAAAGTGGGCTTGATCCCAGTAGAAAAATCAAAAAATATTGCTTAGGTAGCTTCTTTAAAAGCCCTTCCATGGTACAAATTGTAATGTATCTAGCTCTTCTACACTGAGGTGCTTGGATTCGACATTAAACTACAAGGCCTTTACATATTTGTAAACTTAATGATATACAATACAGATATATGCAGAGGAGTTGTCTAAACCACCACTTTCAGTAAAATTATTTATTCATTCTCTATAGTGTGCTATGTTCAACATAAAATTTACCTACCAATTTAAAGAAGGCATAAGAAAGAGGTAGAAATGCTTGTTAGTAGGTCAACTAAAAAATGATTTGAGATGCTAATAAAACAACAAAGTTTCAGCAATTAAACTTTTAACAGTTTTACTATATACTGAGGATGTGAAAATACAATTAATAAATTTTCTTCACTACAGAGATCTCTCACGGGCATCTCTCCTATCCAAATTAAATTCATTTAATAGATTAATTAATTAAACAGTTAATACTAAAGAAAAGATAAATTCAAGTAAAGAAAGATATAGGACTAAACTCAACTAAGTAGTTGATAAACTGGCAACAAATTTACCACCGGGGATGTATGTTTTGCCTAATATATTGCACAAAAACCCGTTTTCAATAAGTAATAATATTATTAATAAAAAGTCATCAAGTTCAAGTACAGCCATTATTTTACTGGATGCATATATACTATATAATACTTAAATGAATTATAAATTAATTGTTTAGGTTTTGTAGTTAATAACACACAAGTATCAAGTAACTTGCAAAAGTAAAATGAACCCATTATAAAATGTTAATTAATTATAATTTGCTTTTCAGATATATTACAGAATATTTGTATACTAGACAAAATATCTAATATAATAATTTTTAATATCTGTATAGTTGGATGGAAGATAATATATAGTTCGATGGAAGTATAGATGGAAGAACTGCACAAATGAAATGGAGCTGAATAGGACACATGGTATGACAAAATAATGAAAGATGGATAAGACACATTGTACATCACAGGAGCCTAGTCATAGAAAAGGAAGGTAACAAAAAAGGTGGCTAGATGACATCAAAGCAAAAGTGGGTAGAAACTGACTTCAAAGAGCAAAAGCAGAGAAAAGTGGTAAACTCATGGGGAGGCTTTTGTCGAGGACTAGATGCAAACAGTCTAAGGAAGAAGTTCAAAACTAATATTAACACTTTTAAAATTAATTTGAAAGGAAAATTTCATGGTGTTGACCATCTTATCGATGGGAAAAACACTAGTGACAAAATTTTAAGTTGATCTCAAAACAATATTTTAAATAGAAACTTTCTTGAATTTTGTGCCAAACAATAGCCTGGAGAAAATAAGCAAACATGAACAACAAAGAAAGAATAAATTAAACAGACACAAAAATGTAGAATGATTGTTTTTGTTTTTTATTAAATGGGGTATCCCTCAGTTAAACAAAAACTATATAAAATATTAGGATAAAAAGGTATTTAATGGTAAAATGTATCAATGTTTCCATACTAATTTAGAAATCTAGATTACATGAGGTAGTTAAATAATGAAACAAGCACTGCTTTATTTAAAAATTACTGACCTGTAGAAATCATTTTCTGTAACTATATCCCTAATGCTATCTTCAGGGTCTACTCTGTCATATACAGGTATTCTTTTATGGGGTTTTGGCAATGGAACCACCTCATGCTTGTCATAATAATCCTTGGCTTGTGCTGAACCAGAACCAACATCCAAAAGATTCTCAGAGTGACCGTGGTGAATATCTTGAGATACTGGAATACTCATGGAGTTTTGGAGAACTAGTTCATCACTTTTACTAGATGTTAATTCATTATAAAGTTGTTCACTTTTTGTAGCACGATATGTGTCCAAAAAAGAACGAGGAAATGTATCTCCGCGAGGCACTAGTAAATCAGTCATTACTGTTTTGTACCGATTTTTAAGGATGATCCATTTTTTAACACAAGCGAATTTATTCTATTAAAACCAAGTTGTTTTAATACGGTACAGTCAGTAAACAAAAACCGGACATAATAAGAGGTTCACCGTGTTTATTGGCTTTAATTTACACATTAATTAAAATATTTAAGTCATCGCTAAATTTAAAAACAAACAATTTATAAAACAAACCAATGTCCAAATAGTACGACAATACAATTGACACTGACATTTCATTTAGATTTCACATTTTACATCTCACTTCATTTTCAATTTTATGCCATCCCACCTTTTTCTTGGTGAACGTCACGAGTCTTAACTTATAGGAGTAATCATCCAGTAGTCATGTGCAACAGAGTCAATTAAAATAATTTATTTATTTAAAATTATCAGATTTCAGACTGGCTGAATAGTACAGGTTGAATAAGAACTAAAATTGTCTTATGTGTTTTGAAGAAAAAAACCTTAGAGGTTTGTAATTAATTTTGAATTTTCATGTCAAGTTGACATTGTCAAGCTCAGAGAAAGAAGATATATTTCGTCTAACCACCTATAAACTTCTTGTTTTTGAAAAGTGTAAATAAAATAGTGTCAAATCATTTTTTTAGGATAGTTAGTAGATAAATATAATATTTGATTTTATATTAAAGTGTTTTAGAAGAGGAAAAGCATATTTAAATGTTGATTAGATAAAAGATTATTTTATGTAAAAAATTTATAGCTTTAATCATATATTCTAAATTATTTGCTAACAAATAATTTCTTGGTAAGGCTGAAACTATTATTAATTGAGTTACTTACAGTTAATACAATTTCTTTGTTTTAGCTGTGTAGGTATTGTAGGTACACAGAGACATTTTATATTATAGGAGTTGTTGGAATAAGGTGTGGAAATACACATATACATTCCTCTTGTGTTTGTGTCACAAGTATCTAATTAAATTTTGATTTTAGTAATACAGAACTATCATGTCTGAAAAGAATACCTTTGAAAAACTACCAGTGTCAGTTGTTCCAAAACATTATAAGATACACCTTTTACCAAATTTGAATGATTTTACATTTAAAGGGGAAGTCAGTATTAATATCGATGTAAGTAAAAGTGTACACATATTTTATGTCTTCTTTACATTACGGCAAGTTTATATAGTTGTCCATCTATAAGCCACTTTCCTAGCAACATGTAGGCAGGCTAGGTAGGCACTCCATCTTTGACCTTGTTATTTAAGTTATGTTACTCCAATCAACAAATAATCTTTATTGGTTTAGGTATAGTAATCACCCAAAGAATGTATGTATAATATATGTGTTATCTTGATCAATCTCAGTACTATTTAGGTAAGAGATGTACAACAATGAGAATATGTGCTGGTGCTTGTTATTTAGTGGACTCTACTAAAATTTTAAATGGGGGCATGTAAATATATTTGTTTTATTTCAGTGACATTTTTTGCTATGAACCAGTTGTACTGCAGGTGGAAAACACTCCAAAAGTGTTTTCCACCTACAATCTAATGAATAGCACTTATTCAAAATGTGGCTAATATTTTCAGGATCTCTGCTATGTGGTCCAGAACTCAAATATCTATAAAATAACCTCACTGTATGCAGATGTTCCATGACCAGCACATGTTCACTAAGGAATCTTGCTTGTTTTCCACAGTATTTTGTCCTATTAGTGGATGTCTCTCCAATATAAATTTTCTCATGTAGTCAACCAAGTGTACTTTTCCACTAATGTATATACAATTGTTGACATTCATCAGCATCATCATCATTGGTGCTACAGCCCTATAAAAGAGCCTTGACCTTCGCAAGTCTATTACGCCAGTCAGTTCTATCTAATGCCAACAACTATTTGCTACACCAGTTTGCTACTCCTATTTTTCTACCATCCTCGTCTACACCATCCCTTCATCTGAGGTTTGGCCTACCCCTACTTCTACTTCCCTCAGGTTGTGACACAAGGATTCTTCTAGGAGGGTTGTTTTGCTGTGATCTTGCCAGATGTCTTGCCAATCCTAGTCTTCCTATTTTTATAAGAGATACTACGTCTTTACCACCAAATATATGTTTATATCTGTGATATATCTCGTAGTTGTACCTCCTTCTCCAAACACCATTTTCACAGATACCACCAAATATTCTTCTCAGGATCTTAATTCAAATATAAGCAGGAGGTTTTCATCTGCCTTGGAAATTCCTATCCATATGTCAACACTGGTTGTACAAGTTTTTTGTATATGGTTATTTTTGTTTTTTGGCTTAAGTTTATTTGGCGAAGATTATTTTTCACTCGATTTCTTCCGTCATGACATTCTCCTTGGTGATCAGGGAGCCTAAGTATGTGAATTTGTGTACCACTTCAAAGCTAGAGTTATCAACTGTGAATTGGTGGCTGATGTTTCTGACTTTATTGTTGGATGTTGATCATTATCTTAGTTTTCCTCTCAGTTACTTGCAGGCCCATATTTTTTGAGACATTTGACAAGGTGGTATATATTTCTTCTAGCTTGCATGTTGTGTGGGTAATTAGGGCAACATCTGCAGACACCAAAATTTGGGATGGTTTATTAAAAATGTTTCCTCTGTTGTCTATTTGTGCATCCCTGACCGCCTTTTCCAGAGCTATGTTGAAAAGCAGACACGCCAGTGCATCTCCCTGTTGCAGCCCAACATGAGTTTCAAATTCCTGTGATTGTTTGCTCTGTATTTCAACTTTGCAAACAACTTTATGCATTGTAGCCTTAACCAATATTATCAGTTTATCAGAGATGTGGAATTCATCCATAGCTTCATACAAAGTTCTGGAATTCATTTAAAAAAAACTAACATAAAATTATAATTGATCTTGGCCTGTAAATGTTTATGATTTGAAAAAGGATAATTTAACTCTTTTTGGATATGTTTTTTCTGGTAGGGACACAATCACAGAACAAATAGAATCTACTACTGAAAAAAACAACTTTTGATTTGATGTCATTTTGTCAGTATTTGTTCAGAGAGTTTTGTTGATAACTTAGGATAATAGCCAAAAATAGTTACCAAAAATATGTAGCAGCCAGAATCATGGTAGGAAATAAAGCATATTATTCCCTAGTGATACTACTTAAACCAAACTGTATATAAGACTGTAATTTGCCTCATAATAATGTATGGAAGTGAGATATGGACACTGAACCAGCGTAAAACAACAAAATTGTTGGTCTTAGAATGGAAGATCCTCAGGACCTTGACAAACGAAGAACTCTATGCACTCTATGGAGAAGAATACATAGTACTATACATTAAGGCAAATCGGATAAGATGGGCAGGACATATACTGCTATCAAATGATAAAAAAATTCCAAATACAATCTTCTGTGAAAGACCCAATGGCAGAAGGTGAGTGATCTACGTAAGAATGGGGTAAAAAACAATAGAAATTGCAGCACAAGACCGGCAAGAGTGGAGGAAAATAGTAAATGCAGCCAAGACTCGCCATGCACCCATGAAAAAAGAAGATTAAATCCTGTGCTGTTGAGTTTTTTATTTAAATATAACATAAATGCAAAATAATCACAGACATATAAATTTTTTGAATTGATATAAGGTTGAATGGTCGAATAAATGAACTTTGAAAATGAAAGGCAAATATCGAGCACAATTTTAACAATTAAATCTTGCCCAAGTACTTTCGCTTAAAATAGCATCTTCAGGGGCATTTCGTCAAATTTGGGCTATACAGTAAGCATAGAATGTGATAAACATTCATTTTAACATAAAATTGTACAAAAGACTACAGTAAAACAAGGACAAACAGTTTAAAATTAATTAAAATAGTGACTAATAGACTATCTATACAACTCTGATTAGACCCGTAGTAACCTATGGATGTGAAACTTGGGTAATGACGAAAAAAGATGAAGCCCAACTCAGGACATTCGAGAGAAAAATACTGAGGAAAGTATATGCCCCGGTACAAGAGGAAGATGGCACATGGAGAATCAGGAGAAACGACGAGGTTAATGAGTTAAGTGAAGGTTATGACATTGTAAGATTTGTGAAAAGTCAAAGACTGTCATGGCTGGGACATGTGCAGAGACAAAACGATGCAAAAACAACAAAGAAAATGTTACAATGGAAGCCCATAGGAAGGCGAAAAAGGGAAGGCCCAGAACGAGATGGTTGGATGACGTGGAAGACGGCCTGAAAACAATGAACATAAGACAATGGAGAAGAAGGGCACAAGAGAGATCTGAATGGAAGGACATAGCCAGACAGGCAAAGACCCATCCAGGGTTATGATGCCAAAAGAAGAAGAAGAAGAAGAAGTAATTAAAATATTACTGACAAAGAATGTAGAGCATAGAAACATTTTAATTAATTTTAAACTGTTTGTCCTTGTTTTAGTGTAGTGTTTTGTACAATTTTATGTTAAAATTCATGTTTATCACATGCTATGCTTGCTGGATAGCCTAAATTTGACGAAATGCCCTGAAGATGCTGTTTTAAGCGAAAGTACTTAGGCAAGATTTACTTGTTAAAATTGTGCTCGATATTTGCCTTTCATTTTCAAAGTTCATATAAATTTTTGTTGCTATCTAGTATGTCAAATGTTCTCATATTAGAAAGAAATAGGACATTGAAAGAAGGGCCTGCGAATAATCATAAGTATTTTCAAAGTAAAATTATGTAAAATGAATGTTTAATATATAAGTAATACAAGGTACAAAATGTAATACTTTTCATTATTTAATCAATTGGTAGGAACAAAAATGTTTGAGACTAGTTTTTAGTTGACTCTTTAAAAGTTACAGATTGTAGATTTATATTTGGTTGCCAGATTACGAGTTTGTTGGAACAAGTTAATTTAACCTATTGGTAATAGAGTTGCGAGTTGTCGTCGATCAGTTCCCTTAGTACCGTTTGCATACAAAGTATTGCATTGATAGATAAGCTTACTATCGACAAAAATACTTGAATCAGGTGTTTAATTATAATTTTTTGTTTTCAAAAAAATTATTTCTTTTTTCTGGAAAGTACTCTATTACTTTAATGTTTAATACTCACATGTATCTAACATTAATTTTTTTATATAAATAGGTAAAAACTTCTACACGTGAAATTAAATTACATTCATTAGATTTGGAGCTGAATTCAATAACTTTAAAATCTGAAAATGAACAATATTCACCTACTGATACAAAATTGTGCACTGAAAAAGAAATGGCTGTGTTTCAATTCAAGTCTGCTCTTGCTCCAGGAAATTATACTTTGGATATTGCATTTAGTGGAAAACTGGAAGACAACATGAAAGGATTTTATAGGTATTAGTTTATTTAATTTTCTGTGTATTTTAACTAGAAATTATTATTGACTAGGAGTTACATATACAATGTGCGTCTATTATCCTATATTATTGCTTTTTAGTATACCCTAAGTAAAAATAGTGACGAAGTTAACATCAGATGCACATCTTTTTTACATCTTTTGTCTTAATATGTCATTTGTTCAAAATATGACGTACCTATGACGAAGTTTTAGAATAATTCCGTATCGAAACCCTAAGCATCATCATCCGACCTCAAAAGTCCACTGCTAAACATAGGCCTCTTTCTTGTGTTTCCAACCCCATCTATCTTGCGTCACTCTCATCCAGTTTTTATTTGTTTTCTTAAATTGTCAACCCATCGTGTAAGTAGTCGACTGACGCATCTCTTGTCTTGTCTTCCATTGCTGTCCATTCCAATACCCTCTTTGTCCGTCGCCTATCAGTTGGTTCTTTTCCTGTCCTCTTCGTTTTTATTTTGTCTTGCAGAGTTATTCCTAACATGGATCGCATCATTCTTCTTTCTCTGTGTGACTCTTAGTTTGATAGCAGATACTTTGGTTAAAGTTAGTGTTTCTGCTCCGTATGTCAACACTGGGAGGACACATTGATCAAATTCTTTTTCTTTAGGCATGTGGCAGCTCACTTTTAAAAGTTTCTCTCAGTTTTTCATTGATTCTTCTCAGTTGATGGGTCTGATTATCCCTGCCAATCATAATTTCATGTTCTAGTTATTTATATTTGTCTACAAGTTCTACTTCTTGCCCACCAATACTAATGTTCTGGTTCTGGTTGGGTACCAAATTTGTCATTATTTTTGGTTTCGAGATGTTTATTTAATCTTACATTTTCTGTAGCCACAACGAGTTGCTGTACCATCTCTCTTGCCATTATGACTATGTAATCGGCGAGACGTACGTTGTTTAGATATTCTCCATCTATTTTTATCCCCTTTGTCAGCCAATCCAAATTCTTAAAAGCATGTTCCAGTTCAATATTAAAAAGTTTGGGTGACATTGTAGTATTTTGCTTAGCACATCTGTGTCAAAGGCTTTGTAAAAGTTGACAAATATTAGCACTAAAAGTTTAATGTATTCCACTACTTTCTCTATTATGGTTTTTATGCTTTGTAGATAGTAATTAGTTCCGTAACTTTTTCGGAATCCTGTCTGTTCTTTTGGTTAATAAGTCTCTAATTTTCTTTCCAGTCTTTCTCTTAGGTGTAATAATTAATAATAGAAATAATCTTATTTAGGATCTCTGTGTTAATAACTGGGGTGCACCTGCGGACACGCTTCGTACATCTGTGCTGAGTTTGGTCTAATCTGTGGCAGTGTACAGTATACCGGTCTGGCTAAATAGTCGCCATGTGAAGATAGTGGATATGCAGCTTAATATAGAAATGAGAATAATAAGCGGCTGCATCAAGACTACTGCACTATATTGGCTTCTCATTCTCTGCCATTCTCTTCTAATCTACTAAGATCAAAAATTAATGGTAATTTACAACTTCCAAATTCATGAACAACAGAATATTTCAATATTACCTCCACATGGCACAAGCTGTAAACTGAAGAAGTTCTACTTGAGATATCAAACCTTATTGACCCAGTCCAAAAGTCTGGTGGCTTCAAGCAGCCACGAAACAAATGGAAGAGCCTTTTTTTACGCACAAACTTTTTAAGACCTAGGGCATTTTTTACAACATAATCCTAATATTAACGAATTACAATTATTTTAAACAAAACTTTAACTTAAATATATACATACAATAGTCTTAACTACTCTGAAGGACCTGTTGTACAATATTTCTCCATTCGCTTCTATTTTGTGCTTTTCTTTTCCAGTCCATCACCTTCACCTGTTTACCTTAATGGAAGAGCCTTAATCGGCCTTAAATAATTAGAACGGCATATGCAGTATGCGCACATAACCTACATAATTGAGGAAAAAAAGTCTGCCTCTAGCTGCGATTGTAATGAATTGGGGGCATACCGAGGGGATCCAATAGACTTCTTCACAACTGCACCTTTAAGCCTTGACTTGATAGCTCAACTGAATCTGAAGATATAACTTTTCATTGCCTTTCACCGGAATTTTATTTGCTCGTAAGATCCTCCTTCTCTGTCGAATGTATTTATAATTTGTTCCAGTTCTACTGAACACTGGCCCTAGCGGTATCATTAGCATATCATAGGTTTTTGATTTTTTTCCTCCTATTTTTGCTCAACCTTGCTATTCCTCAAAAACTTGACGCATAATGTGTTACAAATTTTTGTGAAACTGAGCTACTTTGGTCCATAAACTTTTGTAAAAGTAGATGCTTTGATCTATGGTTTTTTCTGAGACTTTACTTACAGCTGATAGTAAAGCTTTTTAAATTATACTCATTAATATTAATGTAGATTTATGTTTTAGAAGTAAACATGTAGATGAAAAAGGAACCGAGTTTTATTCTGCTGTTTCCCACTTCGCTCCAACAGATGCAAGACGTTCTTTTCCTTGTTGGGATGAGCCAGCAATTAAGGCTACATTTGATGTCAGTTTGACAGTACCAAAACATCTCATGGCACTTTCTAATATGTCTATTTTAACTTCAAAGAATCAAGGAGAGTTAATTAAGTAAGTAATTATTTATTAAAATATTCATACATTCAACGTAAGTATATCTTTTATTAATTAAATAATTAAAGCGTGCGGTGTTACCATTCTTCTCTATGTATATAGATGATCTCCTTATAAGCAAAAACAGACGAGAATATATTAAGTACAAATCAAAATGTGAATCATATGTCAAGTAGATTCGAAATATGCAAACTAGTTTTGGGATTTTGTCTGATAAGTGAAATACTCGAATTACATTGACAGTTATATCTCAATCAAATACATGCAAGTTAGAATTTTAAACGCGAACGTATGTTTTTAATGCAGTGTCTAGGTAGTTGCGTATATTTTCACCGTGAAATAGAAAATATTCAATACGGAACTCTTTACTTAATTCACATTTCTAGTAACCGTCATGTACTCCTCGTTTTTAAAAGACTTCAGTTTAAATTAAATAGCTTTATTGTATGTTATCTAATGTGGCAGAAATGGAGTAGGTATTATTTTGAATAACGAATGGAAGAAACATCTTGTAAGGGTAACCAGAAGAAGTAATAGAATAAGGAGTATTTAACTGAATACAGACAATATCAACGTAAACATCATATGTACTTACTCCCCACAGGTAGGGTGTGAAGAACAGGAAAGGAGGAATTTTGCAGGGACCTTGATTGGGAGATGCTCGAGATGCCTGTAGACGAAAATTTGTATAGAAATATTGGTAGAGAAAGAGCTCATTGCTAGAAAGAGTTCATGGAGGTTTGGGGATGGGAATAAGAAATGATGAAGGACATAGTATGATTGACTTTGCAGTGGCGTGGAATTTGGATGTCATTAATACATGCTTTATGAACACTGAAAACCAATATGTTACCTATAGTAACGGGGAAAGTGAAAGTCAGATAGATTTTGTGCTGTGTAGAAGAAGTCAGCTGAAAGAGGTTAACAACTGTAAAGTGACAAAGGATGAGTGTCTAACTAGTCAGTACTGACCGGTGATAGTGGATACGGAGATAAAGGTGAGACGGAAAGGAAAGCAAGTAGGGCACCAGAAAGTAAAGAGGTGGAAGTTAGATAAAGATTTTTCAAGAATATTTAAGAGTAGAATGCTGGAAGAGCTTGAGGAAAAAGATACGGTAAACGACTAATGGGAAGTCGACAATAAAGTTGTGGCGTAAGTAGGGGAGCAAGTGCTTGGAAAAACATCTGGTAAAGGGCGTCCTAGAGACAAAAAAACTTGGTGGTGGAACGATGAAGTGCAACAGAGGGTTAGAGGGAAGAAAGAAGTATGATAGATACTGCTAAGAAAAGATCGTTTGCACAGCTGTATGAAGAGTTGGAAACACCCGAGCGGATGAAAGGTTATACAACATTGTTAAATCAAGGGACAAGTCATCAAAGGACTTAATTCACGTCCCGCAGAGGCAGATCGAGATTGCGAATGGAAGAGTATTAAGAACCGAACGATGAGTACTTTAGAAAGTTGCTAAATGAAAAACAACAGAGGAGAGGCAGATGATGTGGGATTCCAAATGAGAATGTAATACCAGGGATAGCGCCAGATGAATGGTAAAGCAGTATGACCTGATGGAATAGCTGTGGAGGTTTGGAAGGTTCAAGGAGAGGAAGGGGTTGATATTTTGTGGCAAATGATAGTAGAATTTATGAGGAAGAAAGGATGCCCAACGCATGGAGAGAAAGTGTGAATGTATCATTTAATTAAGATAAAGGGGTAGGCGAAGAAAAGTTTGGGTTTATGCCAGGAAGGAGGACAACGGATGCCTTGTTACCTTTGATACAGTTGATAGAGAAATACAACGAGAAGAAAAGAGAGCTAGATTTGATATTTATAGATTTTGAGAAGGCGTATGTCACAGTTCCTAGACAAGAGCTATGAAGATGTATGGGAGAGAAATGGGTTGCTGAGAAGTATGTAAGGCTCGTGAAAGATATGTATGGGTGAGCGTACACCAAAGTAAGGACTGCTGTCGGATTGACCGAAAGTTTTCCAGTGACGGTTGGTTTGCATCAAGGATCTTCACTGAGTCCTTACTTGTTTAATCTTGTTATAGATAAACCTACGGGAACTTCTTAGTCAATGCTCTTTGCTGGTGATATGGTGTTAGTATACAGGAGCAAACAATGTTGGAGTGTTGGAGAAGGGCTATTGAAGAGGGAGGACTTGAGTTTAGTACGTCGAAATCGGAGTATATGTGATTGAGAGGAAGGAGAATGGTTGGGGCATAGAATTGCTTGGAGAAAAACTAGGACGAATAGGAAAATTTCAATACTTTGACTCCTACATAACGGAAAATGGAACACTAGATCGAGAAATTGTCTACAAGATACAGGCTGGTTGTTTTAAGTGTGGCCTGTAAAGAAGATTCAGGAAAAGAAGATGGAGGTAGCTGAAATTAAAATGTTACGGTGGATGTTGGGCAAGACTAGAAGGGGCAGGATCAGAAACGAATTGATTAGGGACAGAGCCGGGATGACTACAGTCTGAAAAAAGATTCAAGAACAATGACTATAATGGTTTGGTCATTCGTAGTCAAACGTAAAGATGTAGTCTTCACTAGTCAGACGTAGATAAAAACTATGTAGAGATGAAAACTATGTGGGACGAAAGATAGAGCTGTTAGAAGTTGGTGAAAGAAGAAGTATAGGAAAACCGAGGTAAAGATGGAAGGACTGTGTGGCAGAGGACTTGAGAGAGGAAGGTTTAGGTTAAGAAGACCCGATGGACAGAAATGAGAGGCGACGAAAAGTAAGGAACAGCGACCTCTGAAAAGGAAAAAGCTGAGGAAAAATAAGTAGAAGATTGTGTTTTATCTTGTATTCCCGTTCAATCTATTTATCAGTACTCGTCAGGTTAATTATAATCGTGAAGTATTTTTTGTAGATTCTGTAGAGTTTTTATATAAAAAGTTGTTGGTTTGGAAATCAAAACGTCAAACGTTATTTAAAAAATGTAATTTTAACTACAAGCAATTATGGCTTAACCCTATATAAACACCATATTTAACTTAGACATGCTACAAGAAAACTGTTTCAGAACCTTTTTAAGATTACTAGTGTTTTTGTCAACTACTCCGCCAGGAATTTTTGTCCGCCAAAGTTTGTTTTTTTATATATCTTATAGGCCTCTTTTCTGTTTTTAACAATTATAGTACATGCATTCGACCAGGTGGGATTTGGTATTTTTTTACAACTATTTGACCGAGATTTGATGGACTTCGAGAATGAATACAGACTAAGAAAATTTTAAGGTCATTGATATACACTTATTTTACGCTCTAGTCTCTATTGCGTAGGTCATAATCGGTCTTACGCATGTCTTGTCGATTTTTATTTTACTCCTGGTGCTCATATATTGATTTCTCCAAAATATGTCTCTAAGATATCCTGATCACTTAATGTATAATTTGTTTGTTGGGTAGATAATATAATATGAACATTTATGAAGATAGTTTTATGGATGATAATATTACATTTTTTTGACTTAACTCTTGAATTATAATTTAGACTTGCAGTTTCCCTTGTTATTGTATATCTATGGTGAACTTAAAATACTGCCGTTATTTTTATGATATTGTGAACTTTGGCAGACTTTTGCTATATATAATTTTTCTATATTTCAAGGTACACTTTTCATACGTCACCGAAAATGTCTACATATTTAGTAGCATACGCTGTGGGTGAATTCGATTTCGTGGAGAAAATATCTTCAGATGGAGTGTTAATAAGAGTATACACACCATTAGGTAAGAAGGAACAGGGAGAATTTGCCTTAGATGTTGCAACAAAGGTTTTGCCTTACTATAAGCAATATTTTAATATCGCTTACCCTCTACCAAAATTGGATTTGATTGCTGTGGGTAGCTTAGGATTTAGTGCAATGGAAAATTGGGGCCTTATTACTTATAGGTAAGTAAAAATATGATATAGAATTATTTATAAATATAATATAAGACATCTCCCATTAATTATTATAAACCACTATACGAATATATTCTGTCCCAAAATTATATTGTATGTTACGGACTTTACCAATCAATTTGACAGCAGAAATTAACGTGGTAATTAAAAATATGGTCAACTTACTTTCTGTACTATGAAACATAAACAAATAAATGTAAAATTATATTAAATATGATAATTTGGCAAGTAATAGTTCATTTGAAAGCTCTTCATCAGTCAAGAAGAAACTTCAAAGAGATACGTCAAAACGATATGTAGAGTAGATTATGGTATATAAAGCTATCTTATTTTATCCAAATGTTATAATATTTAATAATATATCAATAGTAGACAAAAGCTATGGCATTAACGTTCGAGGAACTGCAAATTATGTTGGGGGAACTAGCAGCCAGCTCCCAATACGTCGGCCTAAAAATGAATATGAAAAAAACAAAAATAATGACAAACACAGAGGACCCCAGACATATAACTATAAACGGCAGTGAGAACAAATCCAGGAATATATCTACCTAGGCCAAATCCTGAGACTTGACAAAGAGAACCAAAGTACGGAAATTACTAGAAGAGCAAGACTAGCATGGGCAGGATTTGGAAAACTTAGTTGGATACTTAAGAACCGCAAAATACCCCAATACTTGAGGAGCAAAGTGTTCAACCAATGCATCCTTCCTATCATGACGTACGGATGTCAAACCTGGACCCTAACCAAGGCAAACATGAATAAACTAGCCACAACAGAAAGAACAATGGAAAGAGCAATGTTAGGTATCCGACTGTCAGATAAAAAGAGGAACGACTGGGTAAGATCCAAAACAAAAGTCGAGGACATAATAAAAATTGCAAAACTTAAATGGAGCTTCGCGGGCCACACTGCTAGACAGAAAGACCAACGTTGGAATACTACAATACAACATTGGAGACCTTACGAAAGTAAACGACCAAGAGGAAGACCACAGATGAGATGGATTGATGACATTAGAAGAATAGCCGGAACAAATTGGAAATATGTTGCTCAGGATAGAGACCGATAGAAGGAGTTGGGAGATGCCTATGTCCAAACATGGACGACATAAGGCTAAGAAGAAGAAGAAGACAAAAGTTGTCTTCTTTATTTTCTTCTTAATGTAAAATAACAAAATACAAACGATCAGAAATAAACCAAAAAAATAAGTATCAAAATGATCATAGAAATGAATTGTTTAAGATGATTTAATATATCCCATACTAAAAATAGTATACAAAGTGTATATATACATTAAGTAATATTTAATCCGCTAAATGAGAGAAAATCTTCGTCTTTTATTTAAGCGTATAGCCTATTGGTATTTCAAGTTGCCTCCAATGGTATTCTAACTACTCTGCTTTATGTCATTCTATTTGTTACTTTTTCATTCTTTCTTTATCTATGCATCCACTTATTTATATTGTTTATCTCATTTATGCTTGGAAAAGTATTTAGTATTTATTTAAGTATTTTCTTTTTAATATTCCTATGATTTTATTATATGACCTTAGAGTATAATATTTTGTTATAATATTAATTTAGTTATATATTTTAATTACTTATTTCATTGCATATCTTTATTACCTTTTTAAATTCTCACGTTTAAATTGACTGATTCATTTTATGTTGTCCAGAGAAACCATTTATCCTGAATTCTCCAGCAAGCACAGAATTGTTAGAAGATCAAATTACTTGAAGAAATATATAAGCAAATTTTGTAGCGACGCGACGGCTGAGAAAAGATTTTTAAAACCTAATTTATTACGGTTTTTCGTCCGAAAATATCCCTAGACCACTCTAAGCTGGAATCTCTAAGTACAGGTTTTGTCACTACACACAGAACCACGCAGTAATTAACCAGAAGTGAAGCTGGTCACATCTACGGCCTAGCGACTAAGATGAAACTTCTCCTCGCAGTGGTACCTCGTGGATTCCTTCTGCATCGCGTTGTCGGCCGCCGAGCTTAGATGCTGTCCTCTCTAAAATTAATAGCTTTTAACAAATGGTAAGTGAGCTTCTTTCTGGATGGACAATAATTTATGAAAAAAATCCTTTATAAAAGGTATATAACTAAAATAACCAATCGGGCTACATCACAAAACGTTTTCGGAATCTATATTCCATCATAAGTGTGTCCTAAAAGTGTGTAACCACTTTAAATAAAGAAAACATGAAATTTAAAATTTTGACCAAGGTTAATACAAAATGCGATTAATACTTACTAAGTACTTACATATTTTGAGCCACTAAATATTTTGGTAAAACCCGTTAAATTTTGATAATTTAAATTTAGATTACATAATTGGATCTTATATACTATGATGTTAAAGTTACAATTGGAATTGATAACATGACAACGTAAGAATCTGCTGGGTGTTGCTGGTCCTGAGACAAAGTGTCTATGACCACTAAACCCAATTTCGTTTCATTCTATACCATTACGAGAGTCTTTCTGGAGATATTCGTAATCTCATTAAACGTTCTCAAAAATAATTTGGGTCAGTGTATATCTAATTCCAAAGACCCCATCAATTATATGAACCGTAGTGCTGTATAGACTAAAATGTTCAGATCGTGATGCCACCTACATAGGAAGAACATGTAGATCATAGTCTTCGTGCTCTATAGAGTATGTTTGGTGATGTATGTTCTATAAATAAATACTGCTTACCTACACATAGAACATTTAATAATTGAGAGCATATACTAGCAAATGGGAGTAGAAGATAAGCTGATCCATGTAGTGAAGTCCATGTACGAATATAATAATGTTACAGTCAAGGTAGGTAACAAGTTTGGAAAACCATTTAAAACGAGGAAATGTCTCCCTCCTACAGGGCTGCTTGACTTCACCTACACTCTTTAAAATATTTCTTCAATACGCCCTAAAGCCATGGAAAAGGAAATGTGAGGGAATTGGAGTACCCATAAGGAACGACCATCTGTATACCCTCAGTTTCGCCGACGATCAGGTCATAATAGCACAAGACGAGGAAGATCTGTTTATATGGTTCGAAAACTAGAAGAAGAATATAATATAAATGGCCTGGAAATAAACTTTAACAAAACATAATATCTGAACAGAACACAAGAACCAACAAGAAACCTGGAAAAGTGGATGACGGGCGTGAAATAAATGGGACTGATAAATTTAAATACTTGGGCTTCATTATATCAAATAAAGGTACCACAGAAGAAGAAATTAAAGATCGAGTGGGTCAAACCAGAAACTCTATAAGACAACTGAATCCTATCCTATGGGACAGACTCATAACAAAAAATAACAAAAAAAGAATTTATAACACGATGATTCGCAGCATTCTAACATATGGAGCAGAAAATTAGGTCTTAAACAAAAGCAGCAGAAACAAAATAAAGGCCACAGAAATGGACTACTGGAGAAGAAGCTGCAGAGTTTCCAAAATGGACAAAATAACTAACGACGAAATCAAAAGACGAATGAAGATAAAGAAAGACACCTTAAATTACATTGAAGAATGAAGATTAACGTGGTACGGGCATGTCAGACGAACAGATCCAAACCGATGGATAGCAAAAATAACAGAGTGGAGCCCCATAGGAAAACGCAAAAGAGGCAGACCAAGAAGATGAAGCCATGGAAAGAAGAGGATTGGAAGACGGAGAATGGGAATAAATATATATATATATATATATATATATATATATATATATATATATATATATAGGTAGATTAATAATCTAGAATAAGTAAATGCAGTACCTAAGTATAGAACTTCTTATGCTAAATCAAATAGCGTCTAGGAGTATTTATGCAACTCTTTTTAAAATAGTACTTAGGAGGAGGAAAATTTAATAAATATATACTGCTTATCTAAATATGACGAATATATAGAATAGAATATCTAGAATTGACAGCATATAGGAGGATCTTATAATAGACAGCACGTAGGTGGATCTAAAAATATATCATCTCCTATCTCACTTCCGGTGACCAATCCGTGTAGATAATCTGTCATGAAATTCATAATGGTGCATATATAATATATTTATTTCATCTTTAACTGTAAACTTGTGGACATTTCTGAGTACTTGACCACTTTTTACTGGTATTTGAATACCAATTATCAAGTAAACAAATTTTCGTCAAGTACGTCTTACTTCGATATTTTATTTGACTAGTTATCACTGAATAAGTTAACACCTATACGACTCTTACTCTCACCTCTTTTGAGACGAGAATTCAAATAATTTGCGACTTGGCTATCTTGGCTTATAATAACGACTGTAACGACAGCTCACACGACCACAAACTTCGCTCGACACACGTGGAGTAGTAAACGCAATCTAATGCGTGTTTATTAATAAAATAAAATAAAAAGAAAATTAAATAAATTAAATTAAAATAAAGTTAATTAAATTTATTAAAATAAATAAAATAAATAAAATTAAATAAAATACATTATAATAAAATAAAATTATATTTCTTTGTTAAATTAGAACAGGAATAGGAGAAGAAAGCAAGGAGCACTCCTGTAGAGCTTTCGCATAAAAAATACGAAATAATTCCATAAGGATAAGATAACGATTCGACATTGACTCCGAAGCCAATAAGCACAAACTCAAACACATAAAATAAAATAAATTAAATTAAAATATAATAATACAATAAATTAAAATAACGAAGTTGAATAAAATAAAGTAAAATAAACTAAATAAATTAAAATAAAATAATATTTCCTTCTCAAACTTGCTTTCTTCTTTGGTGACTGATATATATATATATATATATATATATATATATATATATATATAATATATAGATATATATATATATATATATATATATATATATATTGCTGAAATTATTAAAGACATTTTTGCGCATTAGTGGAATGTAATTTCCGTTCAACGGACGAGAGTTCAACGACAAAAACTTGAATTAATGCTGAATGAACTTCATGAAAAATCACTGCAAAAAGGCCTAAAAATTAACTTCAACAAAACAAACGTAATGACAAACACGGAAGACCAAGAGACGATAAAAATAAAAACAGAAAAAATAGAACAGGTAAATGAGTATATCTATCTAGGACAAGCAATCAGAGCTAATAGAGAAAATCAAACAGCCGAAATATCGAGACGAGTAAGAATGGGATGGGCAGCGTTCGGCAAACTTTCTTACGTTCTAAAAAATCAAACAATCCCTCTATACTTACGAAGCAAGGTATATAACTCCTGTATCATACCGGTGCTCACCTACGGAGCACAGACATGGACATTTACACAGGAAAATTTGGATAGGATAAGGAAGGCACAAAGAGCGATGGAAAGACAAATGTTGGGTGTATCACTTAGAGATAGAAAACGTAACCAGTGGATCAGAACCAGAACAAAGACAGTAGACGCGATAGAACAAGCAGCAAAAATGAAATGGAAATGGGCTGGACACAATGAACGTCTCCAAGACGGACGATGGAACAATGCCATCGGAAAGTGGCGTCCATACAATGCAAAGAGATCCAGAGGCAGACCACAGATGAGGTGGAAAGATGACATCAGGAAACTGGGAGAGACCTATATCCAACAATGGAAGGATAGAGAATAGGTTCAAAAAAAAAAATTCCGTTCAAACAAAATATATTTAATTTTTAACTGTAAAATGCAAATGTGTGACATTCCTGGACCTATTAGTGTATTTATAGCATTTTAACTAATGCATGTGGTCCCCCTTTATACCATAAATTATGGGTTCATACCAATATTAGCAATTGTCTGTTTTGGTTAATTATTAAATATTATAAAATTGGATATTTTAATAATGAATAGTTGATGCGGTTAATTGAAATAACAAAAATATCATATACAGTTTTATTTTTTTAATACTTTTTTTTTTAATTAGTTACTTTTTGTTAACAACTACATATATTGTTGATCTTTGTTGAACGACGGCTTCATTATTTTTGTAAAGAAGTTTTCAGTGATATTTGGTTTCTTAAAGGACTAATTAATTTATTATTTTTGATTTAGTTGTTTTTATCTAATAATAACTTTATATCGATTTTAATCCAAATACTCTTGTTGAAAATATTAATTATTTACTTTTAGAGAAAATCGTGTATTAATTGATCCTCAAAACTCATCAAACTCAAACAAGCAGGGAGTAGCGTTGGTCGTTGCTCATGAATTAGCTCATCAGTGGTTTGGAAATTTAGTGACTATGAAGTGGTGGACCGATTTATGGTTAAATGAAGGATATGCAACTTTTATGCAATTTCTTAATACTTCGGCTTTATTTCCCGAATATGATGTCTGGTCGCAGTTTGTGAATACAACATTCTTGGGTGCCTTAGAATTGGACAGTCTTAACAGTTCACATCCTATTGAAGTAACGGTAAACGACCCGTCAGAAGTAAATGAAATTTTTGATGCCATTACATATAACAAAGGAGCATCGGTGATCAGGATGTTGGTTCACTTTTTAGGAAATGATACATTCAAGGAAGGTATGAGTTTATATCTTAACAGATATAAATACGGTAATACTACTACCGAGGATTTATGGAAAGCTTTGGAAGAGGCCAGTAAACAACCCGTTTCAGATATTATGTCGACTTGGACGAAACAGATGGGATTTCCGTTAATTAAGGTAGACACCATACGTAAGTTATTATTTTTTTTGTTTTGTTGTGTTTTGTTTCATTTTTACATAAATTTTTATTTCGTTTTTGGAGGTGTGGTCCATTAATTTATACACCGTAATGGTCTAAATACTGAGATAATGTTCAAAGACCTTAGTTGATATAGCAAAATACTTCGGTTGCAAAATATTTGCAATCAGTCTTTTTGTTTAGCTGATTGAGTATAGATTCACTTATTCGGGCTACCCATACTATACTCAGCATTCGCTTCCAGCAGTGGATTTATAATCTTGTTATATTTCTCCATAAGGGTCCAGCATTCCGATGCATGAGTGAAAACTGTTGGAAAAACTATACTTTTTACGTTTTATTTTTATGTCGATAGTTGTTTCATGGCTTTTCCAATGTAGTAGTAATGAACACAATGTTCAGATTACCAAACCGTAGATTATACACGTGGACATCACCAAGGGATAATGCAGACAACATCGTCAGGAATCAAATCGATTATATACTAATCAGAAGCCGGTTGAAAACTCCATCACGTCTACAAAAACCTATCCAGGTACTGATATAGAAGCGGATCACAATCCGGTGGTGGCTGTAGTAAATATAAGATTCAAGAAACTACAGAAAAGTGCAGTTAAACAAAAGATAGACGTTAAGCAACTGAAAAACGCAACTATACTGGAAAGGACAAGAGAACAGGTAAACAACAATCTTAGAAACATCGCTGCAAAAAATAGGAACACAGGCAATGTAGAGAATAAATGGATGGAGATAGAAAAGGCCCTTATGACAGCTAGTGAAGGCTCCTTAGCTCCAAGCAAAATTAAGAAAAAGGAATGAATGACAATTTAAATTTTGCATCTCATGGAGGAAAGGCGAAGAAATAAAACCATTAAGACAAAATACAAAGAAGTGAACCGTGAAATTAAGAGAAAAATTAGAGAAGCCAAAGAGAAATGGGTTCTGGACAACTGCAAGGAAATAGAAGAATATGATAGAAAGTACGATAGCTTTAACATGCATAAAAAGATCAAGGAAATAACAGGTACAAAAGTGAAAAAAGCATCCATCGTAAAGGACAAAAAAGGTAAAATAATTACAGATTTAAATGAAAAACTGGCAAGATGGACAGAATACATTGAAGAAATTTTTTGCAGATGCAAGACCAGAAATAGCAGTGGCAGAACCTACAGACGACACAACAGGGCCTGAAATCCTAAAAAACGAGGTAGAATATGCTATAAGGAACACAAAAGGGGATAAAGCTGCAGGACCAGATAAAATTCCTGTAGAATTGTTGAAACTTATAGACGACGACGCACTTAAAATAATGGTGAAACTCTTTAACACAATTTATAGAACAGGCATCACACCAAAGAAATGGCTCTCTTCTACTTTTGTCACAATCCCGAAGACGAATAACGCCAGAGAGTGTTCAGACCACAGAACTATAGCATTGATGAGTCACACACTAAAAGTATTTTTAAAAATAATTCACAAAAGAATATTTTATACATTAGAAAAGGACATAAGCGCCACACAGTTTGGACTCAGAGGTGGACTGGGAACACGGGAACCTTTGTTTGGTCTGAGTGTGTTAATGCAAAATGTTTGGATATAAACCAAGACCTCTACGTAGGTTTCATAGATTTTGAGAAGGCCCTCGATAAAGTCAGACACCAAAAGCTGTAGGAAATCCTAAGAAGCAAAAACATCGACCGTCGCGACAATAACATCATATCCAGGTTGTACTGGGGACAAACAGCAAAAATCAAAGTTGATAATAAGTTAACCGAAGAAATTGAGAATTGTCGAGGTGTGCGTCAGGGGTGCGTGCTTTCTCCACTATTATTCAATATATATATATATATATATATATATATATATATATATATATACATATATATATTTACGGCATAAAGTGAACTCCGCCCATGTTAAAATTCAGGTTCAAGTGAGCTCCGTGGTCAAGTGGACACCGATATACGGAGCTCACATGACCATTCCATAATATTGGCTCTATCGATTCGTTAAGATGTATAGTTTCATAATTCTTAATAAAATTTTGGAGCTCATAAGTACCCCTGTATCATAAATGTATTTCGCTTAGTTCACGTGTATATATTATAGGGGTCGTTCAGATCTTTTTCACTGTATATTGGAACCATAGGAATATCGGTTTAAGTAAGCTCTGATAGTTTGGCAACTATGCACTTAGGCCAGCGTTCTTGATATATATATTTTATATATTTTAAACGGTTCATACGGACTCCTTTTCATACGCATTACAATATGTAATCTTCTTCTTCTTCTTGATGTGCCTATCCGTTATGAATGTTGGCGATCATATTGACAATATGTAATAGATTTGTATAATACCAAATACCTGTTTTTGGTAGGTACCTGCTATTCTAAAAATAGCTTTATAAATACAAAAGGATTTCATTACCAAGTTGGACGTGTTTTTTTCATATTCGAATATTTCCTAATGTATTTTGTTAACATGAATATGTCTTTATACGTTTTATTTAAGAATACGATTAATAAGAACTTTTAGTTAATCCATTGTTTTACGATATCTTGTATACAGCTTCTTTATTATTTTATTTCTGGTTTTATCTGTGTACTACGTATAATTCTGGATAGGTTATCTTAAAATAAATATTTAAGTGCAAAATAGATATTTTTATGTAAAAATTGGTAGTAGTGCACAAAAGAGGGAAGAATGCTTAATTTATATAAGAAGAATGTACCAGTTCACCAATATTACATACTTCTAAATGTTTTATCTGCTATTTAGGGGTAATATGTAATCAATAAACGTGGAGTTAGTGTCAAATTTGCAATAATCTTTGGTCAGTTTTTTCTCGATTTTAGTCATAAATTGAGCTGGTATTCGTTGAGTGGATGTTGCGATTCTAGACTTTGTATCTTTTAGTCTCTAGCAGTCTAGCTACTTATCTTCGGATATTAGGTGAATTGATAGCTACGATATTGTAGAGCTTATGTATGGATCTGTGTGTGTGTGTCTTAATAATCGCTGAATTTGGCTGTCTAATTTATAGCTAAACCTACGTGTTAAATATGTGTTGGTGTCATCCATACTTGCAAGATATATTCGGTAGCAGAAGCATAGAGTGCAAGCGTCTACGTTTTAAGGATTAAAGGATGCTTCTCATTTTTAGCTGACAAGTTTGCAGAGATTATTTTTTTGGTCCTCAGTTTGCCTTTTAGTTTTAAACAATGTTCTATGAATGACAAAGTGTGATACAAACTATCTTCAAGGTATTTATAGCAAGTCCAGAGTTTAAAAATTTCATGACACTATTGGATGTTTAGATTTTTAAAAGCAATTCTGTTAGGGACATTAAAGCAGGACCTCTGACTTTTTCTGAGGTTTGGCTTAAAATTGATTCATAGTCTATTTTTATTGTGTTTAAAGTATGATTTAGATTTTTCTATACTTCAGCAACAAAAGTTTTTGGTTGTGCAACAATATCGATGTATCGTCTACATAATAAAAGTCCTAGTATTTACTGGTATGGGTTGTGTAAATATTATACGGTGTAGGTACCATTACGCTACCCCAAAGGAGACCGTTCTTCTGCGTTTTCCATCTGTTATTTTTACCATTGAATGATAGGAAAAATCTTCTGTTGTGTAGGCATACCCGGACAATACAAGCCATTGTTGTATTTTTGATCCAAATTTTAGAATTAGTTTTGTGCTCAGATCTTTAGTCAGGAGCCGTAATATTGTTCATTAGGTATATACGTAGATAGCAGATCCAAGCTCAACACCGTTGAAAGATTCCCTTAGCTGACTGGTTTTGTCCCCTCTTATTTTAAGTTTTTCTTTTCTTGTTTGCCTATGTTTGGCCCTCAATGTGTTTCCTGCACTAGAAATACGTCACATTGGTGTTAACCGCATATGTCTGATAAAGTTAAGTAAAGGAAAGTACCTATCTTTATCTCTGGATATTCCCTTCTCTAATGTTTATAGACATAATTAGGATAGTTGGCATTAAAAAGGCCGATTTGGCCGATCTTTAAACCCTATAAAATATGGCTAATCTTTTACTTTTCATTAAAAATTTTAATTTTACATACTGTTACTTTTAGACAATATTTCGATCAGATTTGTATAGTAATAAATGTAGTTAATATACAGTCTCTTTGTGAAAAATAAATGAGTTTGTAATATCGGTCACAACTCATATATGGATAATAAGGAAATAAACGGTTAACATAAGTGTACAAAATTTTAACTACATATATCGGCGCCATTGTTCAGGAGTTGGGTTTATCTCAGAGATCAAAGGTTACGTTACATGCATATTCCAGGTTCTATTTACGTATTTTCATTCCTAAAAAAGTATATTTATAATAAAGCCCTGAAGCTACCTTTAGATTCTATGAAAAGTAGAATCTATGGAAATTAGCAAATTAAAAAATAAAGACATAATTCTGAATGGCCAACTTGAGACAAACAATTCTCCCGTCCTTAACTTATTCAGTTACAAACTATAACGTGTAAACGCATACATCTTTTATTGTTAGATAAAATGAATTTTTATCAAGTAACGGTCGGATCCATCACTTACTAAAAGAGTAGAAAATGACATGCTTATGCTTTAGAGTACGGCGACTTTAGTACAAAGTACCCTTTGCTTTTGCCAATTGCTTTCTCACTTTCTTAGCGATGGGCCTGGCTTTTTCTTATCAATAATGTTCTTGTTCGTTATAGTTATTCTAAGATATTCAGATTTCACTATATGCTCTACATTTGGTTTTATCTAATATAAATTTACAACTATGACGAAATTTTTATAATATTTTATGCATTGATACTAAACTGATATTAAACTGAGGATATAAAAATGAACAATAAAAGACCGATAATGACGTACAGAGCGGAAACAAGAGCAGATACGGCGAAAACACAAAGACTGCTAGAAACAACAGAAATGAAAGTCTTACGAAAAATAACAAACTAAACTCTAAGAGAAAGAG